CTGTGTCCTGTCCCCCCCTCCCACTGCCTTGGGATGCTGTGGGGTGGGGTGGGGGGGGCTGTGTGGTGGGTCAGTGCCAACCCTGGCTCACCCCCCCCCATCCTGGTGACCTCCCGGTGTGCCCAGCTTCAACCCGGACCCGCGGAGCCGGTACACGGTGTGGACCTTCCTGCTGGGGGGCACCTTGGTCTGGCTCTCCATGTACGGCGTCAACCAGGCCCAGGTCCAGCGCTACGTGGCCTGCAGGACCGAGCGGGAGGCCAGGATGTGAGTCCCCGAGGCCACCATGGAGGGGGGGGAGTTCTCCTGGAGCCCCCTCGGCATGGGATGGTTGCACGGGGTGTGAGGGGCTGCCAGGGAGCAGGGGGGTGGCTGCACGGCAGCCTGTGCCCCTCGGGGACCCCAATGTGTATGGGACATGTGCCCTTGCACGGACCCCACACCCTTGCACGGACCCCACACCCCTGCACGGATCTTGCACAGACCCTGCACCCTTGCACGGACCCTACACCCCTGCACGGATCATGCACGGACCCTGTGCAGACCCTGCATGGACCCTACGCCCTTGCATGGACCTTGCACAGACCCTGCACGAACACTGCACCCTTGCACAAACCTTGCACAAACCCTGCACGGCCCCTGCATGGCCCTTGCACCCTTGCACGGACCCTGCACGGACCTTGCACCCTTGCACAGACCCTGCATCCCTCCAAAGACCTTGCACGGACCCTCTGCAGACCCTGCATGGACCCTGCACCCTTGCACGGACTTTGCACGGATCTTGCACGGACCCTGCACCCCTGCACGGATCTTGCACAGACCCTGTGCAGACACTGCATGGACCCTGCACCCTTGCACGGACCTTGCACAGACCCTGCATGGACCTTACACAGACCCTGCACAAACACTACACCCTTGCACAAACCTTGCACAGACCCTGCACGGCCCCTGCATGGCCCCTGCACGGCCCTTGCACCCTTGCAAGGATCCTGCATCCCTCCAAAGACCTTGCACGGAGCCTCTGCAGACCCTGCATGGACCCTGCACCCTTGCATGGACTTTGCACAGACCTTGCACAGACCTTGCACCCCTGCACAGCCCCTGCACGGCCCTTGCATGGACCCTGCATCCCTCCAGGGACCTTGCACGGACCCTCTGCAGACCCTGCATGGACCCTGCACCCCCTGCATGGACCTTGCACGGACTTGGCATCCCTGCACAGACCCCTGCACCCTTGCATGGACCTTGCACAGGCCCTACACCCCTGCATGGCCCCTGCACGGACCTTGCACCCTTGCACAGATCCTGCATCCCTCCAGGGACCTTGCACGGACCCTCTGCAGACCCTGCACGGACCCTGCACCCTTGCACAAACCCTGCACCCCCTGCATGGACCTTGCACGGACCCTGCACGGACCCTGAACCCTTGCACAAACCCTGAACATTTACACCGACCCTGCACGGACCCTGTGCTCTTGCACGGACCCTTGCACGGATCCTGCCCCAACCCTGCCTGGATCCTGAACCGACCCTGCATGGACCCTGCACCACCTCCCCGTGCCCCAGCACGGCCTCCACCAGCATCAACGCCATGGCGGCTGTCACCGTCGAGGACCTCGTCAAGCCCCGGCTGCCCACGCTGTCACCTCGGAGGCTGACCCTCATCTCCAAGGGGTTGTGTGAGTGGGCTGTGCCATCCCGTGCCATGCCGTGCCGTGCCATGCCGTGCCACGCTCCCCCATCCTGTCCTGCACTGTTTTGTGCCATGCCGTGGTGCCCAGCATGGTGTCACGCTGTGTCATGCCACGCTGCCTCATCCTGTGCCGTGCCATGCCGTGCAGTGCCATGCTGTGTCATGTCCTGCCATGCCATGTCATGCCATGCCATGCTCCCCACTCCTGTCCTGCACTGTTTTGTGCCATGCCATGGTACCCAGCACAGTGCCACCCCGTCCCATGCCACGCCACCTCATCCTGTACCACGCCATGTCATGCTATGTCGTGCCATGCTATGCCATGTCATGCCATGCCATGCTCCCCACTCCTGTCCTGCACTGTCTTGTGCCATGCCATGGTGCCCACCGTGGTGCCATGCTGTGCCATGCCACACCACCTCATCCTGTGCCATGCCATGCTGTGCTGCACTGCACCATGCTGTCCTGTGCCATACCATGCCGTGCCATGCCGTGCCGTGCCATGCTGTGCCATACCATGCCGTGCCATGCCATGCCATGCTGACCCATCCCCATCTCCCCTCAGCGCTCATCTACGGCACGTCCTGCATCACGGTGGCAGCGCTGGCCTCGCTCCTGGGGGGGGGCGTCCTGCAGGTGAGCCCCGGGGAGGGGCCGAGCTCTCCCCACTGCCCCCGTACCCCCCCTCTACCCCCCCAGTTTTTGCCCACCCAAGCATGGCCTGGCCACACGCCGCTGGCTGCCCGAGAGCCCTCGACAGGCTGCAGGGGCCGGGGAG